ATTAAAATTTTTGAAATGCCCGCTTTAAAGGCTTTTCTGCTTGACTTCCACCCCGCCATTCCTCCCTCTTTTCTGTCCCGCGCACAAAAAATCACGTGTTTTTTAAAAAACCCACCAATTTATTAACAGGGCAAATATTATCAGTACACTAAGATCTAGCATAATTGATGATCTTCGACTTTTGGTAGCACCTTTTCAACCCGTGGAACCACCGAGGAAGTCTTCAAAAGAAATTTTGAAGGAGTTCATCGAAATCTGTTTCTCGTGCTACCTCAAAAAATTGAATTTGAATCAGCCTGGAAACAATTCCTCCACCGATGATCACTACATCGTTCGTTCATTGTACGCACAATCAAAGGTCGAGGACGAAACAACTCAGTAGCAGAAAAAAATTTGCAAGAGGGAATGGAGAGAAAACGAAGAAGCAGCAAAACTGAGGTTCAGCGAACAAACAAACGAAAAGATAACAATACATTTTTTTGGGGGATATACAAAAAAATATAAAACAAACAAAAGGCCAGAGACCAAGGGAACATTACAATACTGACGTTATCAGCTGGCAAGATGCAACAGAAAAGTATCAAAAAAAAAAAGAAACCAAAAGACAAAACCACCACCACATTCACCCCAGGATTGCTAGGACAATTGGCATCTTATGTTACTGAATTTACTGGGCTGCTCTTCAGTGCTGATCCGCACAGTTGTGTACCAGGGATATCCAGGACATTCTGACTATCAGTGTGGATATCCTGTTTTACCGAATGTTAATAGGATGATCCCATATGCCGGTGATACAGCTATGCCAGACCCTTCGATCCTGGACTGCATTCCCTCAGTTAGCCCGTCGTTATACGCCACTTATTCGAGAGTCACCCGAGTGGTCATTTACTTTCTCGCTGGTGCTACTCGTCTATTTACGACATCCAACGGTGATAAGCATAAAGGAAATAAAGAACATAAGAATAAATATATTAAAGGTACATATCTCAAGAATGAAAGGCTCGACATGGCTGTGTTCGGCTTGAGGGAACATTCCAGTAACATCACTAATACAGGATAACCACACTAACTCTCGGAGAGTCAAGATATTCTTAGTAAATACACCTAAAAAATAAAAAATGGGGAACGATAAGGCAGAAAAACCCTCTTTCAAGGGGATGGCTAGATGAGACTGGTGAGCAAAATCGTCAAAAATAAGAAAAAGTGCAGGGTGAAAAAAAAACCAGATATTTTTGGATTGTCTGCGAGGAGAGGCACAGGAAGTTCGGTGGAAAGGAATAAGATATCCACCCACTTGGTTGTGGGGAAGGAAAAAAAATTTTCAACCACCTTGAAAGCTCTTTAAAATTGCACTCCCTCCCTCTCTGTGTATTGTTTGAGCGAGCACGAAGCTAGCTTGCAAGCCATTTAATCATTCTCACTAACGAGACATCCCTCTTTCCAAGGAAACAGCTTCCGGAAACAACAAGCTAAAGCCCCTTTCTAACTCCTATAGAATGAGTAGTGAAATCAATCACCCAGTGAGGGGAAGCTCAAATTTTTTCTAACTGTTTTTAGTCACTCCTCTAGTTTCTG